CGAATCAACTGAAGAGGGTGCGCGTAATAGGAATGATTCAAGACCTGTCCAACCACCCGGACATCTGGAAAATTCTACTACTTCTAGGACGACGAATAGGAAAGAATAAAGAAAACTATAAAACTGAAGTTTCGGAGTTGTATGATTATAATTGGTGATATGATTATGAACAATAAATAAATTGTTCGAAACTTCGTCATCCAGTAAATAATACTGTTTCACTGACTGTGCGTTAAATCTAATAAACAAACTAATATGGAATTAGAAGAGAGGGGAGTCTTAAGAAGACTTAGACTGGTGACAGACAGCTAAAACATTGAACAGAATACTTAGTAGAACAGTTTGATTGGCTTATTGCTGCATTACAAATGCATAACATCTAAATCCAGCCTCAACAGCATATTGATAACGAACCTCCCCAACTCTGATAAGAGTCACGCACAGGTTGTTTCAAATCTGGATTTACTAGGGTACAATAGTTAGTTTATGGGATCCGGGTTCGAACCCCGGTGGGTGCGTACTGATGAAGAGTCCCAAACTAGGACGAAACAGTTGCCCAGTACTCCCAGCTGGTTATCCAATGGTTCTCTAACCAATGTCAGCTTATGATGAAATCCTGTAACCAATCAATCAAATCCCTACAAATCAATACTTGAGCCTAGATATGTCCATTAACTTGTTTTTAATATCCAGTTTATAAAAGAAGGAACAAACCTTACTGTGACAAAAAAAAGCGACATCAGACTAATAAATACATTTTCTAACATTCTAAGGATGATAGACATTCTCACGGTTTATGCAGATTTAGCCAACGAAAAACCCAAGAGACCTTGGCAAATTTCATGGTTAAATGGTTATGCATAAGGCAAAAGTAGGATAGGCTATCATGTCTTCAGAAAAGCCAGTAATAATTCACGTGCAACTTGAAAAACTTCTATAGAATAAAATTGAGATGGTCACAGAACTGAGAAAAACCGTGAGGGATATTTTCCGGAAGAAGTCGTGGGTTGTGGCCAATACACCCCCATTTTAAGTCGTTTGTTTGTTCCTCTTGCATACAAACGAAATCTTATCAGTACCTTGATGGTATCGTGCTAGAAAAATCTGCACAATTCGACACTCTAAATGATGAAACAAGGAAAGTAGAAAACTTTTTTATACTAGAACGGATACCCCAGAGAAAAATTGTTAAAGTTTCGATGAGGAGAACAGATAGAAAGAAATGCCTGCAAAGTGTGCATAAGGAACTCGGATACATGAATTCACCATTTAAAGGAGATGCAGTAACTGAATTGCTGACATCGAAACTTCAAAAAATAATAGCTAGAACATTATTTGTCGCAGCATTGTGTTTAAAATTCGCCACTGAGTCTGACCACTTCAATGTGCATTTGTAAATTTAACTGTTCATGTGGAGATAGTTACATAAGTAGAACAACTCGGCAAGCTGACCGTCACCTTCTGGAGCACTGTCCAACGTAGTTAGGTAAAGGAGTCGTCAAGTCAATCAGAAGTTCCATACTGGCACACCTAGTGGATACGGAGCACAAGATTGACAAGCAAATTCAGCTTCTACAATTCTATACCGGGTGCCACCTCAACTCCCTAGGTTGGTACGTCTTCGGTTGCTAAGCATAGATGAGGCAGTTGCCATAAAGATTTTTCAATCCAATCTATGTGTTCAGAAGAAGTTTGTTCAATCACCCTCTGTCCCTCCCTTGGCCTTCGCCCCCAACCTAAAATAGTTATCTCTCCTGGTGACAACGGATAACTGTAAATATTATCTTATTATATTTTTATTTTATTTTATTTGTAATGCTAACTGTATTATCAATATCATGCTGTGCTATAGTTGTACATTTTATTCTCGGTTTAACAATTTATCATTATTATTATATTATCTAATCGCCACGTGACAATAGTAATTTCCCCCCCCTACCCCTACTAGTATGCACATTCTACCTATACACTCACCGTTGCCTAGATTATATAAACACTTGAATGAATTTATCTTTGTTGTTATTACTAGTGTGATCACCTCGTGCGTCGGTGGCACAGCGGTAGAATGCTCGCCAACCACGCCCCATGTGGTCCGGGGTTCGATCCCCAGCCACTGGACGCACTCCTTTACCTCGCTAAGCTAGTAATAAGACTGACAAATAGGGAAGGTTAAGAATGAGGCTAGTAACCACATCCTGTAAAATAAACACCACTGCTACCGAAACTTCAAAGCTCTAGCTTGAAGCCGCCCTATGTTCCACTGGGAATGTAAAGGAATAAAAAATTTTTAAATAAAACATAATATGATCACCTCGATTGTTATCCATTAATTCACATCCCTGAACTCTGATCCTGGATATTTTATAAACCACATTAATTCAAATGCCTATGACTAATATTTCTCTGAGTTACCTTTGCTTTTTTGGAACTTAGTTACCCGAAACGGACTTACCAAATACCAATCTATGAGCTATATTCATTGTGAGAAGGCTGATCCCGACCGATAGCTGTTACCCTGAAGTGATGGTTGGGACTACATATCGTGATGACCCAATGAGCTACACTGATTGGAATTAATGTTCCTGCAGGTTGTACCATGCCATAAAGATCATTTATATAGTAGTTAGACTAAAAGCAGTTACCATCGTAGCGTAAATCGTTTACGGACAACTAGTGGTGTCCGTCAGGGATGCCCACTATCCCCGTTTCTATTCAATTTCATCATAGATGTACTAATGGACTTAACACTAACTCACTTCAGAGACTCAGGGATTGACTTGTTATCAGGGAGGGAATAATCTCGTTGACTTAGTATATGCATGAGGATGATATAATCCACCCTCCTAGGTGAAGACGCTGACAAAATAGTCTTCTGAAACCTTGAGTTGCAATCTACGAATGTTTGACAAGCGATTAGCCCCCGCCAAATGTAAGATGATACCCCAGGACTGGACTACACTGATTCCTAGCTTAGAAATAGGAGGTGAAGTGGTAGAGCACGTTGACCACTTCACTTATTTGGGAAGTTGCATCAGCCCCAATGGGTTGATCGCTGACAAAATCTCACCACGGATACAGAGGGCTAAATTCGCAAATGCCAGTTTACGCCGCCTCTGGCGTAGACGTGATATCTGGCTATCGACCAGAGGGCGAGTGTACTGCTCAGCAGTCAATTCGCTCCGTTCTCCTTTACGGCTGTGAGACCTGGCCATTGAGAGTGGAAGACATGGGAAAGCTAGCCTGCTGTCTTTGATCATAGATGCCAGCGTTCTATCTTCCGTGTAAAGTGGTATAGTAAGGTAAGCAACATTGAGGTTAGGCCTCGGTCGAGTGCTAGGTGACTTGGAAGGGAAATCAATAGACGAGGCTGTGAAGCTACATCGACTGAGATGGTTCGGACATGTGTTACGTATGCCTAGTTATCGCCTTCCTCGACAATAGGCAATGTTAGCTGACATAGGGTCAGGCTGGAAAAGAGCTAGCGGTGGTCAAACCAAAACATGGTTTCATCAGTCAATGAAATCCACAAAGTTAGTTTAAGCCAGCTATCCACGTAGGAAGGTGTAGACTTCCTGACCGGTCGGGGTCCTCGGGACGGTAAAAACCAATGGTTGGAAACAATCGGTGATATGGCTCAAAGTGATCGTTCTCAATGACAGAGCAGATGCATCCACTCCTTGTGACTTATAATTTCCAATGAAACTGTATTGTTCTTCGTTATTACTATTCCTTTTGTCTCATATTCCTGTCTACTGTCTCTCTCTTCTACTTTCTTCTCTTGTTTTGTGTGCTACGTGGAGTGTGGCGACTTGAACTGCTGCACATTGGTGCAAAGTTCTATGTCGAAAACAGACAGACAGAAATCGTTTACACTATGTCAGGAGTCTGTAGGCGAAGTCTTACTGCTGGCGAATAGGTGTATGTAAGAGCAGTAAAGTGTTCCCCTCAGACGACAAGCATGACAGCTATATGCTACCTCTCTGCTCTGGACAGGAGGTTTAAGAAAAGTTAACCTCGAAAAAATGTACATCCTAACTTACCTTACGGCGATCCTTAACCGACAGTGAGGTCGTAATAACGGACACAATTCCGAAAACAAAAACAACTTCAAACAGGCCGTGTGTGACCGGCCTCAAAGTAGCTGTCTCTTGGGTTCTGCAGTGACACAACACTAATTGTCTTTCTGTTTCAGGGATCCCAAGATTAAGAAAATCAACTTCCATGGTGTGAGCAATAGGGAAGTAATAGTAGCTTACACACTCTCATAAGCACAGTCAGAAGGCCGATAACACTGACCATACACTGACGTAGGTGGAGTTTTTCCTAATCCTGAGAAAGTTCTTCTGTTCATCACTTGCTTCATACCTTACAGATAGGATGACATTCCATCCAGTCAGTCGAAAGATATTATGGACGCATTCGGTGGTGTATGTTTATCTAAAAAAAGTATGTTACGCTAAACAAAATACATTAATGAACCTCATACAACCATGTAAGAGCCTGTGGAGAGTCTCACCTCCCTTTGAAATGGTAATGCCCACCATTACCTAGTCCTACATTATTACTCTATTTCTGTTCAAAGTTGAATTGATGGATATGGCCGACTGGCTTCAGCGTACTCGACTTCCAAACAGTCAAGGGCTCTCATGTTTGAACTTAGTTCCGCTTAGGCAACTAGGTAGTGTCACTAGCTCTCCCCCCCCCCACACACACACACACAATAAGTGTTCCCCGTAACCTGATACATGAAAAGTCTATTCCAGAAAACTGAGTTCTAACTGCGTGCACTAGTCAATATGATTTAGTGACTTCAAGTTATCATGACTCAATACCAGGAAATATGCCAGTTGACTTAGAGTATACAAACACCAGAAAGAAAATCCGAGTACACCTAACAGACACTTTTGGGTAGAAATAAGCTTTTTTTCTAAAAAAAAATAACCAAATGAAAGTATAACAATACACCAAAAATAAAAACTATGGAAAACATTTTCACATACTTGCCAAATTGTACGCTGTTCAGATTCCACAACAGGTTTTAAAGGCACTTCTTCGTTGAAAAATTCACCAATAGGAGGTCGATCAGATAAAAATAAAGACTCTGCTGCTTGAGGTGAATGCAAGTGACTAGGAACTAGTAGTCGACCCAGTAGTCCACTTTCGAATTCATCCGGATTGAATGAACCATTAGAAAAATTTCGAGGAAATGATGCCTCAATAAGGAGCTATAAATAAATTAATATCAAATAAGTTTGTGTCAGAAGATAATCACTGCATTGATAACATAGGGTGAAAATTGAACAGTGCATTATGAACTCTTTGAAAAGAAAAATGGAACTTGCAGGTGTCCAAAAAGAAAGGGATGAAATCTACATCTTTCGTGTGTTTCTTATTAAAACAACTGACTTGTTACCAGGGAATAATCTCGTTGACTTAGAATATGCGGAAGATATAGTCCAGCATCCTAGGTGAAGACGCTGACAAAATGCACTTGAGTCTTCTGAACACCTTAAAGAGCAGCAATCTTCAGATGTTTGTTATGCGATTCGCTCCTGTGAAATGTAAGATGATGCTACACGAGTGGACTGGACTGGACTACTTCAATTCACTCCTAGCTTAAAGATAGGTAGGCAGGAGTGAAGTGGTTGATGGAGTGTGTTGACCAATTCACTTACTTGGTGGGAAGTTGCATCAGCCCTATCAGTGTGTTGATAGTTGACGAAATCTCAGAACGTATGCTTGTTTGGCATTCACCTACCAACTTAAGTCATCTCTGGCTTAGTAGACGTGATATCCATCAGGCTAGCTGTCGACCAAAGGACGTGTGTACTGACCAGGCTCAGCACTCACTTCGCCCCGTCCTCCTTCATGAGTGGCTGGCTGTGAGATATGGCCGTTGACTGAAAGTGGAAGACATGAAAAACCTGACTACTAGCTAGCTAGCTGTTTGTCATCATAGGTGTGTGTCTGCGTTTTATCTCCCGTGTGTATTAGGTGGTAGGTGGTGGTACACTAGGGTGAGTAATACCAATGAGGTTAGGCTTCGGTCGACTACTAGGTAAGGAGGAGAGAAAATCAATCGACGAAGTTGTGAAGTTACATCGACTGAGATAGTTAGGGCATGTGTTACGCATGCCTAGCTTAGCCATCAATCTCCTTCCTCGACAATGAGCAATCTCAGCCTGACATAGGATCGATCAAGTTGGAAAAGAGCTAGTGGTGGTCAGACCAAAACATGATTTCACCAGGCAACCAAATCCACAACAGTCAGTTTAAGCCAGTCAGACACGATGGGAGGGAGGTGTAGACTGCCTGACTAATTGGTTGGGGTCCTCGGAATGGTAAGAACCACTGGAGGCGGCTGGAGACAATTGGAGATATGGCTCAAAGTCCTTGTTGTCAGTGATAGCGCAGATGCATTTACCCAATGAAACTCTATTGTTCTTCCATATTAATATTGTTTTTCCCTCACATTTCTGTTTATCTCTCTTTTGAATCTCTTCTCTTGCTTTGTGTGCAACGTGGAGAGTGGCAAGTGGAACTGCTATTATGTTGAAACCAGTCAGTTAGACTATAAAAACAATTAAAAACGTCTTATTGATCACGTATTGAGACAAAATCGCGTTAAGGTACTTTATGGTGTCATAATATAAGCAATATACATAGATTAGTATGAAAATAGATATTCATACGCACATGATTAGTCAAAATTAACTCTCAGAAGAAGGAGAGAAAATTTTAGAATTTTAGAATACATTTTATGTATTAACCAAATAAAAAGAAATCATGAATAAGATGGTGATTTTCAGAAAATAATAAAATTTTAAAAAATATCTCTGATTCGCCGCCTAACAGAAAGCATCTCCTTGTTTTTCTGAGAAGTACAAACAAATAATGGTAACTCTAAACAATGGCGAGCCAAAACGAAACTACCTAAAATAAACGGACGTAATAGCAGCTTTGATCAGCCAATCATATGAACCCGTAGCAGATACGCTTAATTTAGAAAACTCTTTTATAAATATCAAAGTGAGTGTTAAGAAATAGCTATACAGCGTAACTTTTTCGTGTGTGTGTGTGCCCAAGAAAACCTCCCAGTTGCTGATTGGAGTCTTCGGTGATAGTCCAAGTCCCTATTTCTGTGCGTAAATCCATCCAGATAACTGTATGTCATACTGCTTCACAGCACCTATGAACCTAAAAGAAAAGGGAACGACATATCTTCTCGGACAGATTTTCGGTAACGACAGCCTGGATATCTGTACACATATCCATGAACGGCGGGTGCATACCCCTGTAAAGAGATTACTTCTCCACATCTATAAGTTTCTTAAAGGCCTGTTATCCCGATAGTACTTAAATACTGCCTCTTGATGGAGTTGGCGACGTAATTCGTGTACTGCATCTCATCTATATTTCCGCCTACTTACTACGAACTCATCTGGTTAGTTGACCAAGGTCATTACGTCCGTTTATTAGATAGTGTCATTTTAGGTCGATACAGTTTAGAGTTAGCGGTTAGTTAGGTATAAAGTTTAGGGTTCGCAAACACACCGGTAATAACAACTGAACTAAAAGCTTCACAAAAACAAAATTGACTGCTGTAAAAATACAAAGATGCATTTGATTGATTTTACATACATGAAAAAAACTAAAGTGATCCAGCAATGAAAAAGACTACAATACTAAAAACAAGAGACGGAATTAACATACCTGAGCAGTGATTGAGTATCGAGATAACCAGGTCGCCATGACCATAAGAGGTTGACGTTGGGGAAAGAATAAAGCACGCTCTTTGACACTAACCGATCGATTATTTCCCAAGCCAACTGCCATATTAGGTGGTCGTGAGTTTGGATAATAGATATCTATGAACTGGGTTAGCAGACGATTCACCAGTGGTCGTAAACTGTTCAACGCAGAAGCAGGACACGATTCAACTGTACTTACATCTGACAGAGCCTCTGACTCCAAGTGGTTAAGAACTTCGTCAAACATTGTTTGAATACATGAAATCTGATCACAGTCATCTTTGAAATCAAAAAGTAAACGATTATATGATAAAAGGACCACCAACATAGTAATATACTTTTTTTAAAGATGCGAACTTACGGGGGAATAAAAAAAATAAACTCACCTGTACATAGGGCTTTATAAATAATATCAAATAGTGTGACACTACTTTCCGGATTATCGGACTCAGCATCCACGAGCAGCAAAAGTACGATTTGTCTAATGATACTGTCTCGACAATCCTTGACAATCTGTGAAAGCTAACAATAAAACAATTAAAAGTGGTGAGCATATATATATTGTACATATGTATATATATAAGAACATATATATGCATAATTACTAACGTAACAAAAGGCTTCGAGCCAACAGATACATAAACCATTTTATGCCATTCTAAAATCACAATGTGGCGAATAAGTCTTATGCACGTTTTGTGCAGGTTGAAAACTTGGTGCCCAACCTAGACCTCAATTTACTAGGCCTTTCAAAATGGGTGTATTTTGACCTTTATATACGCATAATACACAGTAGATGACACCAAACTTCTTTAGGCTGAGTAATGTCATTTCCCCCCATATGACTAATCAGTTCTTTAAAAACAGCTCTGCGTCTGTGGCACAATGGTTAGGACTCTCGCCGACTATGCACATGGTCAGGGGTTCGATCCCCTGCCGACGCACATCTGATATCAATAGTCGGCCTGCGAAATTTGGGCTACCGATATAGCATGCTCAAAATTCCATACTTGTACCAAAAATACTGTGTGGTTTCAAGTCATAATCAAAATATAAGTAATAAATAAAACTCTATCCAGCTGAATTCATAGAATGCATAAGTACATTAAAGACTGATAACGACCATTTGAGCTTACGCGTGATAAGTATCTAGGCATACTAAAATGACAACATATGTCAATGCTCTGCTGGATAATTAATTAGATGTCCTTAAGGAACTACCCATACATCTTGTTTTCAAAGTCTTCAATTACAAAACCATTTAATCACTATCATTAGAGATTTCACTATATGTTGTGATAAAGAAAACGGAATTCTGTCGCTTGATACTTATGATTTTTATTTCTAAATACAGTAGAAACCAAGAAACTCGTTTGTATTTGCGTTTCACGCAAAGTAAAGTCAAAAATTTCAAGAACTATAAGCAGATATGATTCGGATTTCTAGTGGCTTCACCAAGATTTCACTAGTTCTAGTTTATCTAGGCCTAAAAAACTAGACAAATACACCAAAGGATATACGTGGTCAACTGTTCTTCTTGTTAGGTTTATATCTAGAACATTTCGTCTAGGACCTGATTTCAGAACTAATTTTCAGTGAATTTTTTGCAGTAGACGTCTACCTGAAAGGAGTTGAAATAAAACAACCCAAGCATATGAAGATGAAATCACAGGAAGTAAGGGAATCTAGACCTCAAGGATTTAAGTCATTAGCAGTTAAAAAAAAGCAGGAAAACTGTTATAGAAATCACTATACATACTTCAGGAATTCATTTACGCCACTGAGTTTCTTTGACTGGAGCTTGATCACACTTAAACAGCTGAGACAATTAATCATGCACTCACATGTTAAAACACATTAATAAGGAAGATGTATTTACCGAAATTTTGATCGACTATTCAACCGATAGACAAATTAAAGCATTAGCTTACTCGGAATCCCCAACTAAACCCTGATGTATTTAACAGCTCAACGCAAAACAAGAATGTTTAGTCAACCCAACATAACTTAATTCCTACTCTAAGTCATGATTTGTATTCAGGCAGCAAAAAAGCGAATTTTCTTGTCAAAAGCAAGCAACATAGAACGGACCACATTTCAGAACAAACCTCAAAAACAAATGGTTGATGAAGCAATCCAGCCGATCTTATCGGCTGCAGAGAACCTTGTCATAAAAGTTGATATCGTCAACAGTACTAACTCACATTAAACCTCCAGTCAGACATCTACTGTCTGCTTATAGCTGTTGAAAATGGTATTATGACCTACAATTACAACGCTTAACAATCATATTAAACTTCACCTGCGTGTATCACACCAATGACAAAAGCTGGTTTGACTATACGAAATATTTTCCATATCAACAAAATAAGGTTTTGAATGAGACATAAGGAGTCAGACACCTAGTCGTCAAAAAGATTGTAGGACTTCACGTACTAAACAGCTGCTTTTGCAATCCATGTTCAACAATAAGAGCACAATATAACAATGTCCATTCAACAAACATATGAGAATTTAGAAATATCAAAAGCAAATTTATGTTACACCACAGGATATTCACTATCAATACAAACCTTTATAACAGTACAACGATCCTAAAAAAGCACAATGTACTCTTCATTAATGTAAGTGTGAACGTGCTGAGAAAAAATGATTAATTTAAACTCTGAAGACAATCAGCCCATAGAAAATAATGTACACGAAACGAAATTCAATAAATTGAGAGTGCGAAAATCCTAACACAAAACTGATTTTTGGCACTGAATGCTGAGTCAATAAAGGACACATTGCCTAGGGAATTCCGTTTGTCTTCACATTCATGACCTAATTCAGTCATGTGTACATGATAGCCTGAGAAAGTTAAGGTGCAAATCACTCACCGTAAACACGTGCTCAGCTTAAAAAGACATGAACAGTGACTATGGAAACTGTACTTACTGCTGCAGGGCATTTTAAGGAATAGGCGCGATGAAATGAAGACACCAAATAATGTATTGGGTTTGGATCCAGAACATCATTTAGATCTGTGGGTGTCCCTGAGGTAAGACTAATGATATCATAGTCGTCAAACTGTCTGATTTGCGTCCGGTCAAAAATAAGTTCATCCAAAGTAGCCACAGGAATTTGTACAGTTCCACCTGAGGGTATCTGCATATACAGTAGATGGCTGGGCCTTCCTGATTCCCCAAGTGCAACATCTGTGAAATTCGGTTACATTTACAATTAAGTACCTTTGTCATGAGTAATCAGCAGTATGCTCTCCAGGATTTTAGTGATTTCCGTCTCACAAGCTCCGAAAATAGCCGATCCCAAACCTAACCAGGAGGATTCACAGAAAATTTTCCAGAATTACCAACTGAGGAATTCTTTACAAGTGAAGCAAATGGGTTTTCTGAAGAATCCATTACACAAAGTGGGATTAAAATGACCAGTTCAGGGACAAAAGGCTCTAATCCAAAATCAGTTCGTAGAATTTCTGAACATGGCGCCGGAGATATGCAACTGGTATGAAGGTCAGATTCAGATTCAGATGACAAGGATAGTAGGCTGTTGTGGCCTGTTATTCCTTGCAAAATATACCTCTGCAGAGATCTCTCTTCTATTTAAATGCGTTCACCGATGGAGCTGATACTATTGAATCAGGTAAGAAGTTCCAGTCAGTGACCACTCTGTGAGAGAACCTAAATTCCACACTTATTTTAATTATCCTCGGTTTGAGCACCTTTTTGTAGTGACCCCGTAAATATATCCTAGATGGGGAGATAAGGTTAGAAAGGTCAGCTCCTAAATCATCCTTAAGTATACGGTATGCTAAAATTAAGTCGCCTCTCTTCCTTCGGTATGACAACGGAAAGAGATTTAAATGCTCCATCCTTCTGTCATAAGAAAGGTGTCAGACACCATTAAATAATTTGGTTCCTACCCTTTTTACTCTTTCTAAGATATGTCCCTCCTTCTTGAAGCATGGACTAGCCGCTTATATTCAGTATTCTAGATGAAGCCTGATATATGTTGCGTAGAGTACTTTGAACATAGACTCATCTAGTCGTTTGAAAGCTCTTCAGAGTTCCCATAGCATCCGAAAATCCCTGTCTGCGGCTGAATTGCAACTTTCAGTTGTTTTCAAGTCATTGCTGACAATGATTCCTAGGTCCTTCTGTGCGTTAACATCAGGTAATTCTTTGTCCCCTAGGGAGTACGACATGTAAGACTTCTGACCTAAGTGCATCACCGTGCTGTTCCTAGAATTAATTTCCAAACTCCACAGGTTCGACCACCCAACTAACTTATCTAGATCACTTTGTAGGGCCTGTCATCATTATTATTTACATTTTTCCAGATCTTAATGTCATCTACAAATAATAATGAAGATGAAGTAAGCATCATCAGTAATTCATTAACGTATAATAGGAATAGCAAGGGGCCTAATAGAGTTCCCTGAGGCCCTCTACTGGATACTGCTTTCCACCCTGACAATACACCGTTAACTCTTACCTTCTGCCTTCTCTCCATTAGGTTATCCCTAAACCACTCACATAGACAATGGTCTAGTCCGAAAAATGTAAGTTTACTAAGGAGACCTAAGTGGGATACTTTGTCGAATGACTTACTAAGATTGATAAAAACCACGTTCAACAGATTTTTACCTCTGCCCTTAGCCCAGTCTTCCCTAGCCAATAGTAGGTTTGTCAGGCAGGATCGTCCTGGTTGGAATCCATGCTGTTTTGCCTCCAGCAAACCATGTTTTCTATATGAGCTAATAGCTGATCCCTTATAATTGTTTCTAATACCCTTGCTATAATGCATGTCAGACTTATAGGCCGGTAGTTAGATACCAATTGCCTGTTACCCTCTTTGAAGAGAGGGCTTATAATGGCATCCTTCCAGTCCCTGGGTGGCTTAGCCTGGGTCAGTGGCATTCGGAAAATCTCCGCAAGTGGAATATATATTATATCCGCCAAAGAAATTAACAGTTTGGGGCGAAGAGGTGTGAGGGGTGTTCCAATATCCAATGCCACCTTTCTCTGCTGCAGTATGGGCCGAACTAACTGCTTCTCTGATGGTATGAAATCGACTCCTGATATTTAGTTAGTTTCTGTGTAACCCAGGTTGACCTGAATGCCAATACACTTTGGTTACGCCCTAGAAGATGTTCGTAATACGCGTTAAAAGAGTACTCCCACTGCTATTTGAGCTAAACTTTTCAAGTATCAGCAGTTTTCTTTGGTTAGATTGTAGCTAGGGATTAAGTTAAAACAAAAGCTAGATTTGTGGTCACTGCTCGGACAAATTTTAAGATCGCTGACATGTTATGGCTGGGGCTTAGGTTTAGTTTAGGGTTAGGAAAGGAATAAAGTATTGGTTACAGTAATTCTGTAGAATGCATTAATTAGAAAATGGGCACTGCGTCTAATAATTTCTCTTCGATTAAATCGTTTATAACTCAATGATTTATCTCCCTGCATACCAAGTTGCTGGTGTTACAGAGCTGCTGAGATTCGTCTCTCAGGGAGAACTTTGTAGGTTGTGCATCCAAATCGGCATTTTTTACAGCTTCTAATAATGATAATGCAAGTCATTATGAAATAACAAATAACTGAGGGAATAAGAGCCAGGACGAGAAACCTTCACTTCATCATAAGTATTAATAAGAGGAAAACTAATTGGTGGATCTAGGTTGATGCTGGCTGCCACCGACATTTTACAATATGGGAAGCAGTCAAAAGCAGCTGCTTATGATGGTCTTACTGGAGATTGAAACCGTCTACTGACGTTGCGAAGGCCGTGATTGTTGGTAATGCATCCCGAAAGCCATGAATCGTAACAAAGAGAATTTAGAATGCATTTAAGCCTTGTCTTTATGGTACTATTTCTTTGCAGGCTGCCACCAGTCTTTATTTACCCAATGCTAGGATCACTTTATCTGGGTGACACCTACTTCTTGAATCCCTGTACACAATGACTGAGTGGTTCCTTAGCTGGTGGTCATAAGGTGTGCAAAAAACTACTCAGATTAGTCTTCTCGTATTTAGCTAATGCTGTGAGTCTATAACCCACCTTATGACTCATTTCTAAATTTGTCTCAAGACTTTGACACCTTTAGAGGTACAGCGGAGTCCTGACACTGTAGACGCTATGGTTAGATGACATGTTAGTTTTTCGAACTACACGAAGATCCTTGTTGTTGCCGCACCAAGTGATTTACCCATGAATTTTAGGACACAGTTCGGCTTACAATTTGCGCTCCTACTAAGTCGTTGCACCAGAATGAAACAAGCTGGGCACAAATGTAGAGTCGCTTGCATAATAGTTAAGAGAGTCAGAGGTGTGCCTTGCATTGTTAGAGGAGGTCATCCCATATACGCTATCTCTAAGTTATACTGTCTTCCCATGATCTCCCTTCCCTAGTTTTCCAGATGGTCAGCGAAGACGAGAGCTTGACGGCTCAGACTGCTTATCAGCCAAGGTTACTGAAGGTTGTTAGAGGTCTTAGAATGACTAAGTGAAGAACACTACAGGTCAGGCTCCACAAGCATGATAGTAATAGTTTGCCTATCAGTCGGTGTTCCCTTATATCAAGCTAATATGCAAAACACAAGGAAACCATTTTGTGAAAAACGCTCTTATAGAAGAGGATATTGTTTCGAATGATGTCAGATGCTGAGTTTGAGGACACCATAGTCATATAATCTCCTGTACTCATGTGAGACGCTATTTAATGTAGAAAATTTAATAAATACCTCTTCACAGAACGTTTTCTATCCAAGATGCTTCAGATAGTTGAAAATGACCACATATCAATGTAGGTAAACAATGAACGGATATCCAGTTACCTTTCGTACTAGAACTCCTTCCAAATTATAGGCAACAAAAGCGACCGAGGAGTTTACGGCTTCTTACGGACAGAAGACCAGAATTATCAAGTCAGAAGTATCCTCAAAACTGCATATCACCCAGTAGACAATGATCTAGTAGAAAGATTTTATTGGCAACTGAGAAGCCCATTAATGGCACGGAATGATAAATCTAAATGGAGTCATGGTCTACCCTTGATACTGGTCGGCATTATTTCCTCCATAAAAGGAGATGTAGACAACCGTAGCTTGTTTATGTTAACACGCTAACTATTCTTACACAACAAATCCCCTAATGTGATTCGACGAACATAAATATTTTTGAATCCACCAAACAGATGACACAGATCCAGCCGGTATCACACTAACACTACACCAGGTGAGCGCTAGTAAACACACAATTACAATCTATCTTATTCGTCTTCATTTCAACAGATGGTGTAACAAAATAGCTGCGAACTATGCAAAAGAAAAATCACAAGCAAAGAGCCGTTAACCCAAATGAATCACGGAAAAAGGAATTGAAACAGAAAAATCACTGTTTGAAATTAAACAAGCCCATATAGGTTGTTGAGCCTAATATTTCCACCTCTAAAAGCTAAAGTTGCACTTTATAGACCATTTTGCATTTTGTGTTAATCAGACCGTTTGTGCTTCACTGAAGTGTTGTACATTTCTTGTTTGTATTGACATATCGTTAAGTGAGAACTAATTTTGGGTGTTTGTGTTTGGATGCCGGCTAACCTCTTATGTGGAGGTTTGTACCATGCTTATCTGATATACTTCATTTAATGGAACAATAATCTTTCGGTTCTGTTATCAATATAACTCTGTTTGGTTTATTTTGAATTTAGTAGTTTCTTCGGAACACTTTTCATTTCTGTTTGGGTGAAGAGTGTAAGTGCGCTCCCTCAGTGTTTATTTGTCTTTTGAATGTTATACCTGTTGTTTATTTGATATGACTAGGATATCCTCACACTCACATCGCCAGTTATTCCACCTGACTCCATCTCTTGGAAATACTCTTACCACCTTTCCGTATAATCGCAGGTTTTATGAGCTGTGGAACATGCGCACTGGCTATGCTTTGTGGACTGGCACAAAAATCACATTTTCCCTGATAATCACTATAGCAGTCATTATTTCTTGGACCAAAGCCAGTTTTATGGGCACAAAACTATGTAAGGTACTTAAAATTGACAGAAACTGACATATTAATTGCCATACAGAATTCCAGTGAACACTGATGTAAAGAAAGAAAGTATAGGGTAGAGTGCAAATAAAGAGATAAATGATTTATGAGACTGGCATTCAGTTGGATAAATGATGAGAAAATGCGTGTAAAACCATTCTGGAATATGTTCTCATATCCGTATGGAAAGCGTCCTGTGGCTATTATTATTTTATTATTATTTCCTTTAATTCCTAGAGGAACATAGGGCTTCAGCCATGCGTCTCCATTGCGTTCGGTTCTCTGCTGTAGTTTTCACCTGGCTCCAAGTCTGCCCACACGCTTTCAATTCCTCTTCACATGATCTCCTCCAGGTCACCCTTGGACGACCAACTCGTCGCTTCCCTTTCGGGTTCCACTCGAGGGCTTGTCTAGTGATGTCACTTGCTGGTTTCCTCAGAGTGTGTCCAATCCATCTCCA